TCTTTTTCACCTATGGCGAACTTGATCCTCCCCGCCCACAAGTTCGTCTAAGTTACAAAAACTTCAACTGGCCCCTGTTTGGGCAGACACTCAACACCCTAACCCAGGTTCCTGGTCAAATTGATACCATAGAAGCTTTAGAGCAAGAGGTCTCAACCTTGACCAGGAACGTCCAGCGTACCCAAACTTCCCTCGCCACTAGAGTGACTGTCCGTCAAGGCCGCGAAGAGCTCTCTCGAGAGCTCATTGCACTAATCGCGCTGAAGAATCGCACCCGGAGGAGGTGGCAACTCCTCCGAAGGGACGAGGATCGCCTACGCGTTCGGGAAATCGAGGGTGCTATCAAAGATGGCATCAGCGAGCTCAAGAACCGTAGATGGGCACAAACTCTAGACAACCTTCGTCCCCAAGATAACTCTCTATGGCGCCTTATGTCAAGGATGAGGCGGCAGCCTGTGCGTACCCCTGCACTTACTAGTAATGGCAGGGATTGCGTCGCTGCCCCAGACAAGGCGGAAGCTCTGGCTTCTTTCCTAGAGAGGGTTCATTCCGGTCTCCCACCAAACTCCCTAGAACAGGAAGAAATCGAGCGTACAGCGGCAGCCTTTGCTATTCAGAAATACCCCATCCACCAGCACTTGCTCGCTGAACTCATTGTCACGCCCGGCGAGATGACTCAAGTTATCCGCCGGCTCCCAAGCGAGAAGGCCCCCGGACCAGATGGCATCCCATATCGAGCCCTTAAAAATCTCCCGCGTAAAGTTATTGTCCAGCTAGTACAAATAACAAACGGAATCCTAAAACTGCAACATTTTCCTTTTCAATGGAAAATGGCTGTAGTGGTTATGATCCCCAAACCAGGAAAAAACCTATCGCTCCCATCCTCTTACCGCCCAATCTCCCTTCTAAACTCCTTTGCCAAGCTCGTGGAGAAGTTAATCCTGTCCAGGGTCAACAGGATCGTCGAAAACTTCTCCATCCTCCCAAACGAGCAGTTCAGATTTCGCCCACGTCACAACACCACTCTTCTTGCAGCCAAAATCTGCTGCGACACCTTCCAAGCGTTCAACAGGCGCATGAACACGACTCTTCTGCTCCTAGATATGGAGCGCGCCTTCGATAGGGTCTGGCACGCAGGCCTTATCTACAAATTACTCGCAACTTTCAATTTCCCACTGCACATCATCTCCCTAATTCAGTCATTTATCAGCGGCCGCACTTTCTGCGTCAAACAAGACGACGCCCTCTCAAATTCCAAACCCATTCAGGCCGGAGTGCCGCAGGGGTCGGCACTCAGTCCACTGCTGTACTCTCTGTACACAGCGGACATTCCAAAATTCCAGAATACAAATCTGGCGCTGTACGCAGATGACACTGCTGTTTACGCTCAATCCTTTTACACCCAAGCAACAAAATTTCAACTAGCCCATCACCTTGCAATCCTTCAACCTTACTACGATAAGTGGAAGCTTGGTGTTAATGGACAAAAGACAGAGCTTATATGCTTCCATAAAAAGCATACCAATAGCACCATGCCCAACCCACTTATCGTAAACAACATCCCGGTCAATCTATCCCCAAAAGTCAAATACCTAGGCATCATCTTCGACCAGAGAATGAAATTCCATCATCACGTATCCCATGCTTTGGCTCGCACCTTCAGTGCGCAGCAGAAACTCTATCCCCTAATAGGTCCCAACTCCCCTTTATCTCCCGATAATAAATTGAGAATATACAAGCAGGTAATAAGGCCGATGCTTACCTATGGGGCCCCTGTCTGGAACATCATATCAAGGACACAGAGGAACCGCCTTCAGCGGTTCCAAAACCGAATCCTGAGGGGAGTCCTGTCTGAGTCCAGGTACGCCAGGATAAGGGACATGCATGTGCAAACATCCATTCCCTATATCACTGACTACCTGGACGAAGTCAGCGACAAATTTTATAGATTACAAATACAAGGTTCCCCACTCACGCGCAGCCTCACTGCGATCAGATATGACCCAGACAACCCCATAGTACACGGCCCTCCCTACAAGAATCTGCCGATCTACTTTGAACCCCCATAAACCCTGGCAATTCTTGAAATCCTTCCAACCCACATTCTCTGGCATCCCATACAATCCCCTCCACCTGTGTCCAGTCATTATCGGTGATCCATCAGATCACCGAATTGGTTATGATGCAGGGCTTTCAACCCTCAGCACCAAACCCGCGCTGACGCGCATAAACCCAAAGAGCTCATCCTTTGTTGTTGAGCCTACGTCCATTGGGCCCCACCGCCGACAAGGCACGAAGTTTTTTAGTTTTTAGTTTTTTTTTAGGTTAAAATAAATTAATTAAAAGCGGGGGTTTTTAAACTTTTTCCTCGCAGAAGAGCGCTGCCGCTCTGCAACCCCCGACTCTGAATATCACCCAATACCCCTGAGTAGGCCAATGTAATGGCCCAATGCGTATCATTCATGATATTTATCAACGACCCCAGGGTCAGAAAAACGGCATGTAAGGGCAACCTGGTAACGCCGAGCTGAGTCACATAAGCAAGGATAGGATAAGGGGCTTGGTGGTCACAACATCGACCGGTAAAACAGCGCAAACAGCACGCTAGGCGTGTCTGTGCGCACAGTGGGCTGCGCCCCACTGTTTTAGTATAAGTTCTATGTCCTAGATTTAAGTATGTTTTATGTTTTTTAGTTTAGTAAGGGGGGCCTAACCCTCCTACCTGAAAATGTATACCTATGGAATTATTAAAATAAAGATTTTGAGTTGAGTTGAGTTTTTGCAAGAGGAGGTTATTAAATAACCAGGTTATTGTAACTGCAGGTTATTATATAACCAGGTTATTGAACAAGGCCAATTTTTATAATTGCATTGCAAGGCAATCTTCAAGTTTTCTCATTCTCAATATTTTTATTTTTGAAGTAATTGTTTTGCGAGAAGGTAGTCGAAGCTATATGAACAAGCCAATTATTAATTAATTGCATCGCAAGGCAAATTTCAACGTTTATATTATTTACAGTTTGATTATTTTCATTTTCCCATTTTTTAAAAGTTTTGCTCAAATTGCATAAACATGATTATTTTCAGTCTTACATAGCAACTTCATTGTATGTAAAAATATCACTTGTTTTGAAACTTTCTAGATAAGACTCTGGAAAGCTTATTTTGTGATTCAGGTTCACTGAACACGAAACTTAACTTGCCGTACCGACTGGAAACTCGCTCAGTAGGTTACAGGCCCTGCGCTCTCTTATTGCCAGTTTTTCTAGATGTCACTGACAATAACAGAATTGTAAAATACCAGCACATCAAGAACACGTCCGATGTCGATAACATGGACATGAGATTGACATGTCAACACATGACAATATGCCAAAATATTCATTTGATCACAACTAATAATGCATAATGTTTTTCGTTCGCCGGTCTTGCATTTCGTCTTTCTTTGTGTTTTCAAGTGTTTCTAAGTGATTTCGGAGTGGTTTTGAAGACCTTCAGACTTTATAGATTGGAAGATCTATTTTTATCTTTGTTGATTAGAATAATGACAGGTTCAATTAAACATCAATCAGAACTTTGAATAAATATGTTAAGGATATCCTTAACCATCGATAAAAGAACTGTCTTTTGATCTAATTAACAAAACATCAATTAATTTAAGCAAATATTAATGTCTCAAAGTCTAGAATAAACAAATTTGAACAGACCGACTGTAATGCGAACAGGGCGCCATCTATCATAAAAATGCCTTGAAGCCCTATGTAAAGTAGGTGTCTGTAGCGTCGATGAAAAACCAGTAAATAGTGAGTTTCCAATATAGTAGATGGCGCTGGCTTGGCTCAATTTTGTTGACAACAAAATTTACACTGAGATTCCATTCTCGACAGTTTATATAGTATTTATCTCTGGTAGGTTAGCAACTTGTAAGGCGACCTTGGTTTCCATCGTGCATTGTTGCTAATTCTAAAGAGTTTCGTTACAACCAAAGCTGTCGTTTCTCAAAGTTATGTTCAGGTTACGTCAGTGAATATTTTCTTAAGTCTTACATAACAACCTCATTGTATGTAAGAATTTAACTTGTATTAGATACTTTTGTTAGAATTTTGTGACGCAGGTTTCTGTGCAAGAATCTAACTTGCTCGCCCTTCTTGCATAACAACTTAATTGAATGTGAGAATTTAAACTTTGTATTTTAAGTCTCATATAATAACTTCATTAAATATAGGAATTTAACTTGTAATGTGGAAACTTTCTAGAGATATTTCTGGAAGTTTTAAATCTTTTGTGATGCAGGTTTCTCTGCAAAAGATTAAATTTTGTACTTTGCAATCAAATGCAAATTGCTTTTAATTAATCACTTAAGTTAATCAATAAATTAACTCTATTTAAATAAATAGTTATTTACATTGTTTTTTTTTCCATAACTACTGGTAAAGTAGCCTTTAATCTACTAAAAATAGTAGATAAACTAGTACTTTAACCGCAAGGGTAGATTAAATGATACTTTAACAGCAAGGATAGGTAAAGACATTTATTTTGTCAAAAATATTTACATATTTTGTTTTTTATTTATTTGTCAAAGTTTGTCTAACGAATTTCTACTTATGCAAAAGTGTTCGACTTAAATAATTTCTGAATATTCTTGATACTACAGGCGTCCATAATCAGGCTATGGAAAAAAACTTTGTTTTATACACGACGATAAAATGTCATTATCGTCTCCCGGAATTAATTAACTTTTCTAGTCAACGATAAACTACCATTTTATCGTCTTGTATAAAAAATAGCTATTAAATTTTTGGTTTTATTTTAATTGACCTATTGTAGGCCTGGCGCCCAACAAAACAACATCAAATAAATATAACCCACGCCCATTGCCTCCTAAACCTATGTCTGAGCAGCTGTAGGGCAACCCAAAGAAGTGATAACACACGAAGTAGAACTTTCATCATTTCAAAGTTAAGTTCCCAATAGTATATTACATTGGCTTAGGTTGTCGAGAAACTGGTCAAGACCCTCGCTATGTCATATTTGGATAAATACATTTTTTGTGAGCATCAGTTTGGATTTCAGCGCGGCAGTGTTACTCGAACACCTTTATAGGAGGATCCTGGAAAGGTATGGGTTGAGGGGCAAATCCTTGAGATGGTTTGAGTCCTTGGTGATAGAATTTAAACAGTGTCATTTAGTGGTGAAAATTCTCAGGAAGGTTCTTGGTTCTCTTCTGTTTTTACTATGTCAACGATCTGCTACATGCTTCTATAAAGGGGGGCCTTTACTATGTTTGCTGATGACACAACTACTTGTGGCATGGTGTGGATCTAGCAGTGTTATCCAGAAACATTTCTCATGATCTGTTGGAAGTGAAGAATTGGTGTGATTCTAATTCTCTAAGTTTTAATGCAACTGTATAAATATACAGAAAGATCAATATTTTATTATTCCCGGCCCTTGTAAGAAGTCTTTCATGAAAAGCGGTAATCTTTGACGAAAACGAAAGTCGGTGATTGAAAACAATTACACCACTGTATATAGATACAGGATACAGGGCGATCAAAATTTGATTATCCCTGGCCCTTAATGTAGAAAATCTTTTACGAGAGCCGGTAATAGAAAACAATTCTACCCACTGTAATTTAAGCCACTGTATAAAGATACAGAGTGATCAATATATTATTATTCTCGGCTCTTTTAGGAAGTCTTTAACGAAGGCCGGTAATCGACAACAATTCCACCACTGTATATAGATACAGGGTGATCAATATTGTATCATCATTGGCTCTTAATGTAGAAAATCTATCACGAGAGCCGGTGATAGAAAACAATTCCACCACTGTATATATACAGGGTGATCAATATTTTATTATCTCTGGCTCTCAATGTAAAAATTTTTTCACGAGAGCCGGTAATAGAAAACAGTTCTTCCCACTTTATTGACTCAATAAAAATAAATCACTGGTATAAAGATAAAATTAGTATTAAAATTTGCTTTGATTTAGTTGTTGGTGCCCTTTTTTCCAGCCTCAATTTCCATATTAAACAACTTACATGAGAATCACCTTTTTCCTCAACTTTAGGTTTTCTTCTGGATAATTCTCTTCAAAAGTTCTTTAATTTTCAGCTCTGAGTCTAAGATGCAAGTAGTAAATCTAAGGAGGGAAACAAACAACAACATTACGACTTTATTCAAAAATCAACCAATTTATTCTAAATCTGTCGTGTTGATGAATCTGTGTTTGAAGAATCTGTAGACTCAGTAGACTCTGAAGTAGACTCAGTTACACACTCTCCCCTAGAGCAAACTCCTTCGCAACATTCTGTGTAAACTTCACATTTAACATCTCCAGAATCTGGTTCTTTGCCCATCCAAGGACAATCTCCTCTTTCAGCTGTAAATCAATAATTGATGTTTCATTACAAAAATTTCAATGTTAGACGTACTTACGAATTACACAAGTCGGACAACACTGGCAAATGGCAGAATAGTATCCGACTTTGGTGCCTTCAGGACAAGTTATGGGTGGACATTTTTTTGGACAAGCTATACGGCATATTATTGGAGGACGAGTTGTCTTTTCTACCTCCCAACAGAAACAACCTGCAAGGGTTGTTAGCACAGCAAAGAACACTTTTTGCATATTTTCAGGTAGGTACTGATAATTGTTACTTTCAAGGCGTTACCTTATTTATAATTTTTGATAAACGACTAATGCATTCTATTTTAAAGTAAATTAATGTAAAAAATTATTTTTTGTCCATAAACATAAATTAACGTATTACTTTAGTTGTTACTCAATGTATAGGTACAGGGTGATGAATATTTCATTTTCCTTGGCTCTTAATGTGGAAAATCTTTCATGAGAGCCGGTAATAGAAAACAATTTCACCCACTGTAATTTGACTCAATAAAAATAAGCCACTGTATAAAGACACAAAGTATCATTCTCAGCTCTTGTAGGGAGCCTTTCACCAAAGCAGGTAATCGAAAACAATATTCTACCGCTGTATACAGGGTCAATATTTCATTATCCCTGGCTCTAATGTCGATTGTCTTTCACGAGAGCCGGTAATAGAAAACAATTCTACCCACTGTAATATAATTCAATAAAAATAAACCATTGGTATAAAGATGAAATTAGTACCTATTAAAATTTGCTTTGAATTTAGTCATTGGTGCCCTTTTCCAGCCTCAATGTACCTAAACCAACTACTATGGAAATTACCTTTTTCCTCAATTATAGTTTTTCTTCTGGATAATTTTGTTCAAAAGTTCATATTGTTATAGTAAGGTTTTGGTTCAAGCTAATTCAGGAAACTGAATCTTGTTTTCCAGCTCTAAGCTTCTATCCCTTGAGACACTATGAAGTTGGACTACAAAATTTTTATATGCTATAGTTATGTATCCAATATTTTCATAAACTGAGTCTAGGGTTTTTAATTTTCAGTTCTGACACTAAATCCTATTTTTGTTGTGGGTATTTTAATTTTCAGCTCTGATTTTGAGATGCAAGTAGTATATGTAAAGAGGGAAACAAACAACATTATACTTGAGCAGACTTTATTCAAAAATTAACTTATTTATTCTGAATCTGTCGTCGTTGATGGCTCTGTGGTTGAAGAATCTGTAGACTCAGTAGACTCTGAAGTAGACTCAGTTACACAGTCTCCCTTAGTGCAAACTCCCTCGCAACATTCTGTGTAAACTTCACATCGAACCTTTCCAGAGGGTGGTTCAGGGCCCGTCCAGGGACAATCGTCTCCTTCGGCTGTAAATCAACCGTGTTAAAATACAAAATATTTTTATGAAAAAAGTTACTTACAAATCACACAAGTCGGACAGCATTGGCAAACAGAAGAATAGTATCCGACTTTGGTACCTTCAGGACAAGTTATAGGTGGACACTTTGGACAAGCTATAAGGCATAATAGTGGAGGACGAGTTGACTTTTCAATTTCTTCCTCCCAACAGAAACATCCTGCAAGGGCTATTAGGACAACAAACAATACTTTTTGCATGTTTTCTCAGACACTAATGGTGACTTCCAAAGGCGTTACCTTATTTATAATTTTTGATAAAGCACTAATGCATACTTAAAATTTATTTTTTTGTATGTACATTAACATAAATTAACGTGTATTAATTTAGTAGTTACTGGAATACATTAAAAAAATTATCTTTAGCTACTACAAAATAAAGTGAAACCTTTAAGAGCTTTTATACAGTCACTCACGATGTTGTTTAAACAAATTTTAATAATAACTTTTTTGATAGTGGGCTACATTTGGCTTGCAGATTCAATTTGCCTATCAATCATTGACTGTAGCCGAATAAAATGTACTAATGCAACCAGTTGTCCAGACGGCGAAATTTTGGTTAATTCGACCAATGGATTTTGTGGACCTTGCTGTAGCTACTGCAAACCTGCTGAAAATTCCAAAGTAGAGACTATAATTCCAGATAATTGTATTTATATGGAAGGAGATATCGTTCATAATGTTACCTGTCGGGAAAATCAGAAATGTTGCCCGTTGCTTGGAGGTTGTATTGATAAAGATGAATTGTGTATTATTTTTTAAATAATATATTACAAGTTGGTAATTGTTGTTGGATAATAAATTGTTGCAATGTCCTAAAAACATGTGTGTTTTAATATCCATTAATATATTAGAAAATGTAAATTTAAAATGGTTTTAGAAAAATGAAACCCTAGAGGAATCGGGGAATTAGTTACAATTAGGAAGCATCACGAGGTTACTGAACCTGAAGATGTACCCATAAATTTGGAAGTAAAAAAACCGCGAAAAGTATCTTGGAACTAGAGCCAAGTATCTTATAGAGGGCTTGCAACTCTTTTTGGCAAAAAATTCGAAGCGTCATTCTCTCAATTATTTAGTATGACCAAACACCATTACTTACTTACATTTCTTTTCCAGGGTTTCATGGTGGCCCTCTTCTACTGTTCTGCCACATGCTCCCATAAAGGGGAGCCTTTATAGCCAGGGCGCTGGCGTCAAAATTTCATGGGTCATTTCAGCATAATTATTTTTCATTCTATACTGTCAGCTGGCACACCCCCGTGGCGAAAGGGTAGTAAAAGACCCCGAAACTAGTTGAAAAAAAATAAAAAATCGGGTCTTTTTAGCAAAGCTGGAAATCTGACATTTTATTTTTATGATGATTCTATGAAAAAAAAAAATGTGTCAGCTTCCTGTGGTGGGGGGCAAAACTTGTCAGCTGCGCATTAGAACATGCGTGAATGTTGGAAAAAATCGGATAATTTCAGCAAAGCTGAAAATTATTTATATAATAAATTACGGTATGAAAATCGTAAAAATAACTGTCAGCTGGTGTAAAACTGTGGCTAAACCTGTTAGCTGGGCGTTCAAAGTAACGCAGGAGTCAAGCAAGCGACGGGCGCTCTGCCTTCTAAATGACTCAGCTAACATATTTCACCACATTTTCTTGTCAGCTGACTATTGATTTTCTATTTTTTAGATATTAAACTAATGAGGTACAGATTTTCCTATTTGCTGATATGACTTTACTAATAAAAGAAGTGATTCAAAGAGAAAACAGTAATAAATATTAAATTTTAATATTGAAGCAACTTTATCTTACTTTCTAGTAAATGGAATTATGCATTAATCACTGTATATTGTATTAAGTAAAAAATACAGGGTTGGCAAATATCATGATATTTATATAAATATCCAATTATCCGATATATATCGATATATATCGGAGAGATATCGTATATATATCAAAATTTGGATATTTATTTATATTTTTAATTACCTACTTAAATTAAATTAGTTCATCTATTTTCTGTTATCTATATTATTAAAATTCAAGATAACTTTATGGTAATTTCAATAAAATGTTACAAACATGTAAAGTTGGTATGACGATAACAAGTTTTAGTTCTCCTATCGCCTATACATATGTAAAGCAATGTAAAGTGTAGTAGGTGAATAAAAATTCTAGTTTAAGAATATGAAAACATTTATGTCATTTATACTACTTATGTTTGCCTTAAGACGGGGTTCAACAACAACAAAAAAATGACAACTCTGAACTCAACAACAAAAAGAATACTTAGTACATCTTAGGGCGGATATTATAACACTATTTTGACAGAATAATTAGAAGTTAACTTCTGGAATGACGGTACTTCTCATAGTAATTCCAGAAGTTAACATTTAGTTATCTGTCAAAATAGTTTCATAATACCCGCCCTAAAAAACTTGATATTTCTTATACACAAATAAAAATAAATAAAATAATAATTGATACATGACGTAATATAGACTGTTGGCCGAGATTCCTGTGATTTCCTTCTCATAAATATTAGTCCGGGAGCCGAGGCCCTTTTTTCCAAATCATTAATAACAAGCTAGTTTTTTCAATGCAGCTTCATTTCACCGAGACGCCCAACTTTTTTCTCACGAAAATTGCGGAAACAGGTAGCTAACATACTGCGCAGGTGTAAAAAATGTCGATTTGGTGATTATGAAAATTTAATTAATAACAGTTAGTTTTTTAGCTAAATGTTGAGATAATTTTATGAATAATTTGAAACAACATTTGTCCGACAAAAAAAAGGGTTTGGTCTATGATGTCCCCCCCTCAAACATGTAGCAATTATGTTGCATAAAAAAAGATTAATAACAAGTTGATTTTTTCAATGTGGGTTGGTAATAGTTATTTACCTAACAAATGCGGAAAGTGATAGTAAAGGCACTTTCCGCATGTGTTAGGTACAAAATTTTACCTATGAGCATCTACATCTCCAAAAAAAGCATTGATAATAGCTTTTTACCTAACAAGTGCGGAAAATGAATTTTTCCGCACGCGGCTGCCGTTCACCGAACGACGCGTAGCGGAGTTCGGTGATGCAGCCGAGTGCGGAAATATATTTTCCGCAAGTGTTAGGTACAATATTTTTCCTACAGGCGAAAAAATGTAAAATTTTTCTTTTTTTTTTTGACATATCAGTGCGGTAAAATTTTTTCCGCACTGACAGCCGTGCGGAAAAACTTTTTCCGCACTGATATGTCAAAAAAAAAAGTTTTACCGCACCGTGCGGGAAAACTCATTTTCCGCACGCATATCAGTGCGGAAAATCGATTTTTCCACACGGCTGTAGGAAAAATTAATTAATGAATCAGATTAATTATTGAAATAAGATTAAATTTAGAAATGATCAAAAATCCATTTTCTGAAAAAGAAAGAAAATTTACCGCACACTATGCGGTAAAGTGCACTTTACCGCACACTTTGTAGTCCACTTTACCGCATACTATGCTGTAAAGTTAACTTTACCGCACACTATGCTGTGAAGTTAACTTTACGGCATAGTGTGCGGTAAAGTGATACTTTCCATTTTCAAATACGTGCGGTAAAGTGCACTTTACCGCACGCTGGTAGGTAAATATTATTACAATTAAATGGTTACACTGTCCTACAAACAAAGAGGTAACTTTTTCTAGTCCTACACTCAAAAGTTTTCGACTTCACGGTAATATTTTTCTCATTAATAACTGGGTGTGTTCTTTGTCCCTGTTTGTTGCGATTTTCGCATTAGAAATGGTTATTCATGATTGAATATATATACTTGAAAAGCTAACTTGAATCGAATATTGTATATAAATACAATGTGTCCAAGATAAGGAAGGCCAGTATGGGGATCTGGGAAACGGTAAGAAATACGAGGTCGTATTTACATACAGGGGCTTTCATTTCGAAACTTGCCACCCACGTTATCTGCGTAAAGAGACAGATTTCTGGAAATTGCCGGAACACGTCAACAAATTTGTTAAAAGGGGATGTCTTTAACGTAAAAGTAGACTTTACCCCTACCACCTAGGCCCTGGGGGTTGGGGGTTGAAGGGGGTGAAGTCCAGTTTCACGTAAAAAACGTACCCCCTCAATAAATTTGTTGACGTGTTTCGGTGATTTCTAGTAATCTGTCTCTTTACGCAGATAACGTGGGTAGCAAGTTTTGAAATGAAAGGTACATACATATTTACGTATAATATGCATAAGGGTATTTTCGAAATTCTCGAATGTATAGGGTTGCGAAATCCTACCTCTTTAGGACAATGTGACCATTCAATTGTAGTTATATTTACCAGACTACAGTAAAAAATCAACTGGTTATAAATCGTTTTTTATGAGCCAGTAATTGCTACATTTTTGAGAAGGGGACACTGCAGACCAAACCATTTATTTTGTGGCTCAAATCGAATTTCGAATTATTTATAAAATTATCTCATTATTTACCTGAAAAATTAACTGTTAACTGTTAATAATTACATTTGCAAAATCACCTAATCAACGTCTTTTACATCTGCTCACTGTAGTAGCTACTACTTTTGCAACTTTTCGCAATAGAAAAATTAGGCGTATTACCAATACGAAGATTGATGAATAAAGTATTAAACCGTGAAGTCGACAACTTTTGAGTGTAGGACTGGAGAAATGTACCTCTTTATTTGTAGGACAGTGTAACCATTTAATTGTATTAATATTTACCAAGCTACAGTAAAAAAATCAACTGGTTATAAATCTTTTTTTAGGTAGTGTAATTGCTACATGTTTGAGGAGGGGGACGTCCTAGACCAAACCATTTATTTTGTCGGACAAATGTTGTCTCAAATTACTTATAAAATTATCTCAAAATTTAGCTAAAAAATTAACTGTTATTAATAAAATTTGCATAGTCATCAAATCGACATGTTCTGCACCTGCGCACTCTGTTAGCTACCTGTTTTCACAATTTTCGCAAGAGAAAAGTTGGGCGTCTTCTCAAAATGAAGGTGCTCACGAAGATTAATGGAAAAAGTTAAATCGTGATATCGACAACTTTTGAGTGTAGGACTGAAAATAGTTACCTGTTAATTTCTAGGACAGTGTAACCATTTAATTAAAATAATATTTACCAACCTACATTGAAAAAATCAACTTGTTATTAATCATTTTTTTATGCAACGTAATTGCTACATGTTTGAGGGGG